TAAATTCATTTTTATTTATAACATATTACCTTAGGTACACCTCCACCTCCTCCACCAACTAAACCAACTGTTTATTTGTTAACGTGTAACAACAATCTAAAATATTCTATAGATTATAAAAGAAAAGAAAAACAGTTTCCGCGCATGGTGTTATCACATCCCGGGTTTGACTTGATCGACTCGACCTCCATGACTTTCATCGGGTCTGATTCTAATCCGGCGGCGAGCTACCCATGCTCGCCGTCCGCAGGCCCGTGCTTACGGTGGCCGGAGATCACCTCGCGATCCCCGACGCCCGGAGTGTCCTCCGCGACGGCTGGGTTGTGAGGAAGTTATGATGGCAAAGATAACTCTCCATTATTCCGTAGCGAGGACAAGGTGGACTGTGTGCATTCTGATTTTTAAATTTCTAATATACATATAACGAAACTACAAAACAAAAACAAATATAAAACACATTTGAAATGTACATCAAAAAAAATACACAAACACAATTTTTTTCATACACTTTTATAATAAATACCGTGAGACATATTTAATTAACTAAAATCGCGGGTTACTCACGTGAATAAACTGAGAAAAGCTCTACTAGTTTCGAACCACAGAGGGGTTCTTCAGCTCAGTGACCTGCGCGATGTCGCCGCGACCGCGCACGCTGCTCATGAGGAAAAACCCGCGATTATAGTTAAATCTTGCCTTTTATCCTCGAAAGGTTAGGTAGAGGTTTCCATTAGGGCACTTAATGCCACTGTACAATGTAACACCCACTTTTCACTATTTATTTTATGAGGCCCATGTAATAGGGAGTGAGCCTATTGCCGAATACCGGGCACAATTCTAGACTGCGTGTTACTACTGAGATTTTTTGTTTAAATACCCTGTAATACTTTGCCCTAACCGGGAATCGAACCCAAGACTCCTTCCCCGGCAGGCGCACTTATGACCACTTGGCCAACGACGCAGTCATAAAATTAAAAATATTGTCAATTGACGGTCATTCAATTCTCATATTTCACTGCAACGACTAAGTTTAAAACGTCAGAAAATTAGTTTAGTCAAAGCACCATTAATAATAATATTGCCACAGTCATGCAGCCATTATAGCACTTGAAACAATACTCGCAAGTGATGAGGTACCTACATTTGTTGTGTTGTTATACTATAAGGCGCTTTGACTGAACGTATCTATATGAGTATGATGTATTAAATGTCTCTTATTTTTGAGTGCATTCATGTCAACAATATAAAAAGTTTGCTGCTTTTTTTATATAAGTATCCTGAGTGTTAATCAATAATTGACGCTGACTGTACGTACTTAATGTTGCTTTAGGTGTCCTACGCGCAACGGTAACAAGCTAACTAAGTCAATATTTTTATATGTACGACATAGGAAAGTGGTGGCAGTCACACGATGGAATGGAAACATTCCGTTTACTTATGTAACTTACACACTATGCTTGTTTGTGTATAGTAGTTTTACACGTTTACGATACGTACTTAATATCATTGGCTCAAAAGAGTGACGCAGGTAAATGTCGTTACATTTATTTTGTATGATAAAACGATTGTCAGTACAAACACAATATAATGGTCATAAAATTGCGTTGCTGCGATACACACTTGGGATCAAGCAGTGAGGTTCAGTAATGTAAATGAATTCCGTATGAGTGGGTGCGATGTGAGCGGGAGAGTAGGGTATGAGTACGGTACCTTGGACCGCGCGCCCCTGGGCAGCAAGTCTCGGAGCGCCTTGCCCGCTTGGAACCGCTGTAACATGACGCCCTACTCTGTATCACAGTGCCTAACGTCCCCGCCGTGCAGCGACAGTTCTCTACTTTATTTCGCAGCTAAATAGTGGAAAGCTAAAAAACCTGCATGATTTCATTATAACTGGAACCAACTTAAAGAGGGGTCGATTATGATTTTGAACGAGTAGCTGACTAGCCGATTATTATCAAAACCCGGCCTTCCGATCATTCCTCCAAATGAAACGTTCCATTAATGTGCTTGATGACAGAAAGTAATTATTGTTCTTGGTTTTTTCACCAATTGTACAATTATTCCCGCAAAATGAATTGTAACCAGAGTCACAATAATTTGCATGCCCGTCCATTAGAAACGTATAGTACGCGAATTAAGCGTATTATACACATAAATAATGGAACCGACTAGTGGGCTGCTACCAACCAACCGAGTAGCAAATAAGTCAGCTTCAACGAGTAGTCGGCGCAACTTGTAATCTATTAAACAAGTCACAAATGGAGGTTATTCGCATTTCTTTATACCTATACCTAATTATGATTGTATTGATAAATATGAATTATTACCCACGACACTTGAGTAAGCTTCTCTGCTTCAGTGTTTGGTATGTGACGCAGTTGAATCGCTTACTCAACAGAAATGAGTGTACTGTTAGAATACGCTTTCCATACAAAATAGGGAACAATCGTTGCACAGGTCTGTGACGTCAGTCAGGTTGTCAGGTTGCTGCCTACAGCTACTTACCAAATGCTGAACGTGGACGTCTCTTTTAGTATGTGCATGTGTCTGAAGTGAGCTCGATAGCATTCTCGCATGTCATTGGTCGAGATTAGTATTGCAACCAATGATATAGCGGACCGCGATTCGAGTTAACTTCGATCTTTCGAATTGAAAGTTACAGAATAGCCTAGCTGACCTCTTTAAATGTAGGTCATATTATCCCAGTAGTTTCGTTTTACTATCGTTTATTGTATTATTGGAAATAAGTAAAATCGGAAGAAACGAGAATGTTAAAACAACCAGTTAATAAGTTGCGTTATGTTTGCTCCACAGACTGCAGTACTCGGATACCACCCAGCGCTACACGGTGTCTAGTCTTTGTGCAATACGAAATAATATTTGTATTTATTTATAGGCTTACTAATTATATGACATGTATAAACAACATTTCATTACAGTATTTGTTTCTTTTTTATTTTAGCTATTAATTATGCCCTTGCCCGTCCGATATAAAGGCAGTAAATTAACTTACTGCACGGTTGACGCGGTGGCTGGACAACCAGCTGCCACCTAACGTGTAGCGGGTTCGATTCCCGCACGGAGCAACTCTTCGTGTAATTTACAAATTGTTGTTTCGAGTCTGGGTGTCATGTGTATAGGAAATTGTATGTTTGTAAACGCACCCACGACACAGGAAAAAATCCATGTGTGGGGAAAAGTTTTCTTTTTTAAATAACTTAACAGCCTGATTCGATATTGTTTATATAGCCGCCAAGTACCAGATTTAATATTGAACGTAATTTGTATAAACTATCTGCCACATACGTTTAAGAAATGCTGACACAGGTCCTTAAACCTCAATAAACCTATCGATTTACCGATGTATAACGATATATGAGATGTAAATGCATTAGTATTGTAGTACCGTCAGTGGTGTTTGTTTCTCTTTCCTCTTATTAGGTAGCTGACAAATTATACATGTTAATTAAGATAACTATAGAAATATAACAGAAATGATGAGTAATGGCACAAAAATAAATATCATTCGTTGTTTCAGTAAAGACAATAACCGCGATGACACACGCGGACAGCTTTCAACTCGGTCGAATTCGTTAAAAGCATGTGAAAATAAGAAGTTTACGTTACACTATTTAACCCGTGGACTGTGGTTTATGATACAATAACCAATTCATCGTGTCACGCAAGTCTATTTTGAAACACGACAAGGAGAATAAAAGCGCCCTCTATAGATAATTGTGGACGTCGATTTTTACGTCTACAATAATTACATACATACATGACCCGTCTGGCTGCCTGTTTCTCATGGGAGGAGGCGGGCAGAGACTATAGAACGCCAATTGGAACGTCTATAATTCTTGTATTTTCACGCGATTTTATGCTTTCTATATAACATGTCTTATTTTGACAATTCGAAGAGATTTTGTACAACATGGAGAAGTGGTAGCGCAAGTCGGCTGTATACAACGACGAGGGAGCGAGTGATGTTAGTAGAAGCGAGTAAGAAGTAGAGTTGTCGATACAGACCACGGTCTTTACCTCCTTGGTGGCGATGTTGTACATGAGCGCCGTGCCCACGTCGCGCAGCGCCGCGTCGTCGCTCAGCGCGCAGTGCACCGTCACCTGCGCACAGTCGGTACACTCGGGCGCTACACGGGCCACGAGCGCGGCTACACTCGGGCGCTACACGGGCCACGAGCGCGGCTACACTCGGGCGCTACACGGGCCACGAGCGCGGCTACACTCGGGCGCTACACGGGCCACGAGCGCGGCTACACTCGGGCGCTACACGGGCCACGAGCGCGGCTACACTCGGGCGCTACACGGGCCACGAGCGCGGCTACACTCGGGCGCTACACGGGCCACGAGCGCGGCGCGGGACAGACAACAGGTTCTGTACCCATGCTCAGAAATGTGGAGCTTGAATTGCCCATTGGAGGGAGCAAATAGATTGTCAAGTGGACTGGCCGACAGGCAGACACTTTATTAATATATTTATTTATATAATATTATGCTTTATTGTACACATTTAAGTAGCTTAAAACAAACAATTCAAGTAGGTAAATATGCGTACAATGGGCGGTCTTATCACACAATGGTGATTTCTTCCAGACAACCTTTGGATGGAAATATTTATAAGAAACCAGATATGGGGTAGTAAGGTATTCAATAAAAAAAGACAAAATAATAATAAGCACCTACAATAGATATAATATACTAGCAATATAAAGAAAATACATAAATAATATATAAAACTACAATAAACTATGTGTGAGTGTGTGTGTGTGTGTTTGGTTGTTTGTATGTGTATGTGTGTACAATTCATGAAAGGAGAAACAGATTCTTATAATGTAAGAAAGTGCTCCTTCACAAGGTGTTTAAACTGACGCAAAGTTTGGGCACGCCTCACCTCGATAGACAATTCATTCCACAATCGAGCCGCTTGAATAGTATAACATTTATCGAAGAAGGAAGAGGGATGTATAGGTATACTTAATTTAAGATTCTCCGACGATCTCAGAGACCTCGAATGGTGTCACCGAGAAACTGAAAACGCTCTTTTAAGTAAAATGGGGTAGAAGGATTGAATAGAATATTGTACAGTAAGGAAAGAATATAAGAGTTCAGTGACATGATAATATTTACGAAGACAAAATATGAATCTGATGGGAAGAATTTGAAGTCGCTCAAGCTTGTTCAATTGTTCCTGTGACTGATCAAGATAGCTGACATCAGCATAATCAGAAGAAGAGATTGAGCAAGTGTAATTTTGGTAGCATTGGGCAAGAAATTACGAAACCGTCTAAGGGAACCCGCCGAAGCAAATAACTTGCGACTGACCATCTCCAAGTGCTTTGTCCAAGAGAGAGAACTGTCCAAGAAGCTCCCCAGGTTCATAACTTCTCGGGAGAAAGGAATATTTGTATTTAAGAAAGAAACCTGAAGAAGATTTGTCCAATCAATTTTGGAAACAGTACGCGCACTACCGATGATAGTCGCTTGCGTTTTGGATGGATTAATTAGCAGTCCAGACTAAGAGCTCCAGTCGCTTATACAAGTTATATCCCGATTAACCAAAGCAATAGTTTCCGTAAATACTCGAGCGAGGCTTGAGTGTAGATTTGGAGATCATCCGCATAAAGGTGGTAGGAAAAAGAAAGACCTAGAGACATAGAATTTATGAATAACGCGAAAAGTAAAGGAGATAGAACGCCACCTTGAGGCACACCGGCGGCAGTAACACCATGAAGAGTAGGTATCCTCAAAGTGAACACGCTGGCGGCGTCCAAACAGGTAACTGCGAAGCCAGTCAAGAACCGATGGAGATATGTTAAGAGAGCTGAGGACACCAAGCAGAATGTCGAAGTCAACCGTATTAAACGCATTGCTAAAATCCAGTAAGACAAGTACGGTTAACGTCCCAACCTCCATGCCCGCCCTATTGTCGTCCGTAATATTTACGAGGGCAGTGGTAGTGCTATGACCCCGCCGAAAACCAGATTGGTAGGGACTAAGGAGATTGTGTTTAGAAAGGAACATACTCAGTTGGTGGTGGATAAGTTTTTCAAGGATTTTGGATAAAAAAGGAAAGTTAAATACGCGGCGGTAGTCAGAGAAGGAGGTAGGATTAGGTTTTTTAGGGAGGGGGACAACATGAGCATCCTTCCATTTCCGAGGGAAGACTCCACTGGAAATCGAAAAATTGAAGATAAATAAAATGACCGGAAGGATTTCATCGAAGATAGGGCATCATAGATCATCATCTTCCGGCTAATACAGTCGCTACCAACGGCGTTGGAGGTAGTAGACAATATGCTTCTCTTAACATCACATGCAGTAAATTGACTTATGAAAAATGGAGAAAATCAGGGATCGGAAGTTGTGAAAGATTATTCAAAGTACAAGTTTTAGTGGCCCTATTTAAATTGGGCGAAGATGAGAAGTGTGGGTTAAGTAAATCGATGTCGACATTTTTAGGGGACAAATCTTGTGTAGATTTTCCGATTCCTAAAGATTTAAGAAAAAACTCGAAACTTTAGCTTGATCACTGGATAATATATTTAGTTTTGGATTTAAATAGTGCCATATCGGTCTAATTGAACAAACTATTTGAATCTGTTACTGCTTTTTTGAATTACTTCACGTGATAGGAAGCCGTTTGTATGTTGAATTAATTTAGTACATCTAACGATGCATATTAAGTGTGTCATTGTAGTATGAGGGAAGTGTCGGTAGGCACGGTGGACGTGGTACAAGGCACGTACCTTGGTGGTGGCGCGGATGTTGGAGAGGGGCTGTCCGTCGTGGTCCCACTCGCTGATGTACAGCAGCCACTCCGACGACGACACGCTCTCGAACAGGTTGCACAGCTGCAACACACATGACGTCACTCGCGGCCCGGCGCGCGCGCGCAGGCCGCAGCGGTACCTACGAAGAGGGCCAGCGCGAGCTGCTCCGGCGGCGAGTGGCGCTCCACGTCGTGCGCGTAGTTGAGCAGCGCGTGGTGGCGCCGGTCCTGGTGCAGCAGCAGCGACACGTCGTCGCGCAGCGCCGCCGCCGCCAGGCAGCGCAGCGCGCACACGCGCACGTCCGCCGCCAGCGCCGCGTCGCGCAGCACGCGCCCTGCAACACGCCACGTCACTAGCTGCCGCGCGCCGCCCCCCGCCCCGCGCGCCCGCGTACCTATGAAGGCCAGGAAGTCGTCGCCCAGCACCCAGCTGCCCTCGCCCTGCACGAGGTACTGCTGCAGCTCGTCCACGCTCTGTCGTTCCTCCGGTGTCAGCTCCACGCTTTCCAATGCCTTTGAAAACTTTTCAAACTCTTGCACACCCTGGGGAATGATAAAATTTAATGAGTCAATATCCTACGTGGTCGGTAACGTACTTGCGATGTCTGTGGTGTCACAGTTACAGTTGTGCACAGGTTACGGTACCCGCTTACTATCAGACTGAGCAGTATACCGTACATGGTGTCACAAACTCAACGATATAAAATGTCTACCAAGTCGCACCTCGTGATATGATATTTTTAAATAACATTATATCTTCGTTTTTTTTAATAACAAAATTAAAATTGGTTACCATCAAATTCGAACACCTCTCATTACATTTCAAGACTACCATGATCAAAATTTTACAAATACCGATATCTTTTATGTACTGGAAACTTGTAGATATACTTTATGATGCCTGATGACAATCCCTAAAAATTTAGGAATGCCGCAGCTGTTCGCAATCAATCAAAAATTATATTGATATACTTAAGATTGTCTTAGTGGGTTCTCAGGGGCGTAAAATAAAGTTCGAGACACGAATGACCGTAAACTATATATTATATTGGAATAAACTTTAAACAATATAAACAAAGTTGCACAATAATACAATGGGATACTCGAATATTTCGCGGTATAAATACGGAGCGCGTGCGCGACGACTCCGGCGCGGGACTCGTTGTTCTCTTTCTTTCACGCAAGCGTCGAGCGGTCAGTGGCGGGGAAGCGGGGGAAGAGGGATAGTGAGGTGGCGTGTTGTCACTAGAGTTGCGCGCATGCGTCCCACACAAACCAAAATCGAGTTGCCGCGTTACACTATTGATTTTTGGCTTTTAGTTTTGGACTTTGGTTTGGTTTTTACCGACTTCAAAAAAAGGAGGTGGTACATAGTACCACCAAAAAACAATCAGCCGAACATAGGTTCGGCTGATTGTTTCGGCCGAACATAGGTTCGGCTGATTGTTTTTTTTGTTTGTTCGCGCATTACTTCGCTATTTGTGAACCGATTTCCAAAATTCTTGTTTTCTTTGAAAGGGTATACTCCCGAGATGGACCCATTTTCATGAGGTCAGGATCTGATGATGAAACCAAGGGAACTTTCGAAAATTCTAGGGGGCGACAAGTGCATTTGTTATTTTTTTCATTAAGTATTAGTAGTAGTAAAAACCACTACAATTTGATAAAGTTCTGGAGTCGATCTGATGATGGAGCCGAAAGCCAGTTAAGGGAACTCCTTAACGGTTAACAGTAGCTACCTTGTGTTCGCATTTGATTAATTTGTATTGATGAGGACTTTACATCAAGGTGGGGTTTAATTGTCAATAAAAAAGAAGCGATAGACACAATTTTAATACTAGAGGCAAAAATAAGTTAGCTATACCGCAATTCAGACTGTCCAAAGTACAGAAATCCTTTATGGGGTTACTTAGGTATTAAATGCTATAATAAAATACCAAATAGCATACTAGATCTCAATGAAAGTAAATTTAAAACATAGGTATTAAGCGCGTATTATGTAATCAAGCTTACTACACACTGACAGATTATCTTGAAGATAAGAATGCTTGGCAGCATGTTGGTTCGGCTCCACTGGACAATACTCAAATGTAGTCAGTAGTTAAATTCTAATAGTAGGTAATATAATACATAATTTAATACTTTAATTCTAATGTAGACAATCTAGTTTCCTTATGGCATCGAGCATTTCTTCCTTTATTGAAACAAAGAACTTTTTCTTGTATAGAAGCACTATTTCTATGGATTCAGTATGCATATGTCAGCACCATGTTAGACTTAAGATTTTTATTTTTTTTATTTTAGTAAGTTATTAGTATAATGCGTCAAGCGTGTCTTTGCATTGTTCTTAGATTTGCGTACAGTATTGAAATATGTATCAGAGACATTGTAGAACATACTTTTTTAAAAGAGTAACGAATGGAGTTTCTTTTTCGTTCTTCTCCATTCGAATCTACGTTTTGGAATGAGCACCTAGCTTCACCTAGCTTCACTGACGGACTGACTGACAGACTATTATTTATTTTGTATTTGTTGACGTTTCAAAAGTACCAAACTATGGTTTAATTGAAATAAATGCTTTGACTTTGACTTTTGAAAAATAAGGGTGTGATGATGAAGTAGTACGATAGTTGCGGGAACTCCTCAACGGTTACCAGTAGCTATGTTGTGTTTGGGTTTGATAATTTGTATGATGAGGACTTTACACCTACAGATAGCGTGCGAGTTGAACGCAGTCGGGGTCTGAGGGTAAATAGCGGAGGCATCTCCCCACGCAATCCGCCCGCCCCACCTCACGCGTGCAGGCGCGTGTAGTGCTGTGCCATCCTTGTCAACTGTCGTACGTTTGCCGTGTTATTGTGTTATTACTGAAGTTCCCGTGTTATTTTTTTTTTAATAATGACTGACCCGAGTTACGTTATGCTATAATTTTAGAAGAAAATTATTGGCAAAGAGATGGATTAATTGAAGATACCATAGATCGATTAGTCATTGAGGTCAATTCAACCATAACTGCAATTTCTGAATCTGATAAAAAAAAAATATTCCGTTTTGTGAAATGATTATTAAAAACATGTGATAATTATGATATTGTTTTTTTTCACCATGTTAACCTAGTGTAAAAAATAAAATTAAACCTATAACATTGTTTAAATTTATCGACATTCATTACTCACTGTGGTCATCAATAATTATTATTAAGTCCCAGCACTACCGCATTCCTAAGCTCTGCATTCAACTCGCGCGCTATCTGTACTTGGGGGGTGATGGTCATTAAAGGTACAATGATGAAGTAATATGATGGCTAAGGGAACTCCTCAATGGTTAAGAGTGGCCACCCGGTGTTTGAGCTTGAATAATTTGTATTGGTGAAAACTTTGCATCCATGTGGATTGTGTATAATATAATATATCAAAGTACTAAAATCAAAAGTATAAAATTAAATTAAAAACTGCATTTAAAAAACCGACTTCAAAAACTAATGACAAACGAAAAGTAAAAACTAAAAAGCCAAAAAATAACTAATATTGGTCATACGTACTTATAGCGTACACACCCACTGATAGGTTAGAAGTCGGTGCCACAAACCCATAACAAAATATAAAGTAGTAAATGGTCCCAGCTGGTATAATCCATAGTAAAATTGTAAACAGCTTAATAATGTTAGGTTTCGATTAAGGTTTTAATGAATAATTTTGTTTGAAAAACTTGTGGCATGTTCATTGTATGTAATGTTCAGATGGTATATTTTAAACTAGAAAACAGTTAAACTTGCTTTTAGTTAATTGAAATTTTCTAGAAAAATTTTTTGGGTGCTCCGACACATTTGGTTAGGTTAGGTTAGAACTGTGACCCTCAAAAGCTATATCACTAACCGCTTTTCAAATGATTTTATACCATTTAGGTGTTCATATTAAACACATTCATTTCAATAAAATTAGTGCATTTGAAAATTCGGTGATAATGAAATTACTTCAAATAAATAATTATCTATATAAATAAAAATGAATTTCCGTTCGTTAGTCTCGCTAAAACGAGAACGGCTGAACTGATTTGGTCTTGATAGGTTCGTGGAAGTCTAGGGAAGGTTTAAAAGGTGAGAAAAAATTTTTAGGCGGTACGAAGTTTGCCGAGTCAGCTAGTGCTGAATAAAAATGAACCAATTACTTATTCGGTCAAAGGAATAATTCTACGAAATGACTTTATTGCAACTAAAATTCGGACTGGATTTAAAAAAATAAACGGTGGGTTAGAAATACTATACTATTTTCAATTTCTAACAAAACAAACAGACATACACAAATTTATAATATTATGTACACATTTTTAAGTTATTTGACATATTTTTGACAACCGAGTTTCATGCCAATGGATCATTGACAATTTATTTTATTATTATTATAACATTAAGGTATGCGAAGAGGCTGAATACTAATTTTATTAACCACCACCACTGAACCTGATTGAAATTCGGTTCAACGAGAGTTTGAGACACTGGCACTGGAAAGGAAATCTCACGGGACAGGAATTATGAGTTAAAATTCCGGGACTCTCTATTGCTTAAACCACTGAACCTATTTGAGTGTAATTCAGTACAGCGATAGTTAGAGACTCGGAAAATGACGCCTGATAGTTTTCAACCGCTGTACCTATTTGATTGGAATTCAAATGGAGTTTTAATCACTGAAACCTCACGGGAAATCACGAAAATAAACATTTCATAATAAATATAAGTAAAATGATTCTGATGAGATTAGTTACACAGCATTGCAATTAATCTTGAAGCAGACTAATTAGAAAAAAAACAAAATGTGCCAGAAGTCATTTTTATACTGACATATTATGACTGCACGGTTGGTGCGATAGCTGGGCAACCGGCTACCACGCAACGTGTCGCGGGTTCGATTCCTGCACGGAGCAACTCTTTGTGTGATCCATAGATTGTTGTTACGGGTCTGGTTGTCATGTATAAGTGAACTTGTATGTTTGTAAACGAACCCACGACACAGGAGAAAAATAATACTAGTGTGGGGCAACGTTTATAAAAAAATATGCAGACGAAGTCGCGGGAAACAGCTAGTACCCTATATAGTTCTAGCGGAACTGTCATCTACGGCTGCAGAAGTAGCAATAAATTGTAACAGTGCATTTATGAAATGTTGGAATGCCCACAATCCCGCAGTTCCAGCGTCTGGGGACCTATTATTATATTTATCGCACGCAACGTAAACATTCCCGCAACGTGCAGTCTGTGGTCGCATCCGCCGGCCGCGTCACGTGCTCCTTTATTTAACTCGCGCCGGCGGCTGCGGCCGACATGCCGCGACCTATTAGTTAATCACTGCAACTACTCACATCGATATCATTGAACACGATGGGTGGGTCTCGGTTGCGCTTGCGCAGCTCCTCCTCGCGCCTCTCGTCTGCCTCAGCATCGAGTGCATCCGAGCTGGGCCCGGCGCGGGACAACTCCTCGGGCACGCCCGCCGTCGCCGTCTCTACAGCTTCCGCCATCTCTACACCATCCAAAAACATTCTCCGTTAGATATTAGAGGGGATCATGAATACTTCGTTCCAGCATATTCTAAATTGTTAACTATGTTAAATTCTGGTGATATCATCAATTCGTTAAAGAGGGTTAGGTTAACTACTAACCTACAACTTGGTCGTTACGTGGCACCTACACGAAACTCGTGATTCCTTTGGCGAGCCGAGGTTGTGTGCGTGAAGATATCACTTAGTTGTGGAAAGAATCACTCGGATACCATCGAATCTCGATCCGAATTAAAAATGTCGAGTTCGCAACGTGGCAATCGTGTACAGTCCCGCGCGGAAATAGCCGTAACATAAATAAGGTGCAGAGGGCGGCGTGGGGCGGCGCGCGGCGTGCACTGGCCGCGCGCTCCCGCCGCGCCTGGCCGCGCGCCAGCTACTCAGTGTATTTATACTTCGTTACTCTCTACATCCAACACTTCGTTTTGTATACAAGTGCTACTGATTTCCGAGCCCTAGACTGCTCGGGCTTAGTTTAATACCGGCCCTCATTATGTTATCGAAAACAGAGTCCCTCACTATTTTCGTAAGGAATACACGATTCCATAATCGGTAGAATTAAGACGTATTAACGTAACATGGCTTGTGGACTTGTTAACCTACATGAAGAACGTTCAACATAATAATACACCTTTTATCCCCGAAGGGATTGTAGAGCAATACCTACTTCTCACTATTTATCTTACGAGTCCCAGTTATAGGGGGTGAGCTATCATATACCGTGCACAATTCCAGACTCCGTGCGACTACTGAGAAAAAACCCTATATTACTTTGCCCGACTCGGGAATCGAACCCTAGACCCCTCGCCCGGCAGTCGCACTTGCGACCACTCGGCCAACGAGCCAGTCTCACGTTTAACTATTAACAATGAATATACAGAATAACCAGCTAGTATAACTACATATAAGGAGTAGAATCGTATCATTTTGAATTATGTCTGTTTGTTAATTCCGTTTCCCTACACTTCATAAGAAACTTATTTAGGTTTGTATATTATGTCGTGTCGTCATGTAGTCAAAGGTTGATATGCAGTCCCTTCGGTCTCTTCCGGAATGACTGGTTATTTGTAGGATTGACGAAGCCTACGGGCTAACCAAGAAATAAATTCTAATTTCGGCATTTGATTAACGTAATTTCAGTCAAAAGATCCTAAACTTTTAGTCGAACATAAAATAGTCTAATTCGGGCTTCGCCTCGTCGATCTAAGGACATTTTGCTACGGTTTGTACGAATACATATTTTGATAACATATAATTATTTCCGGTCGTGGTGGCCCGGAGGTTTAAGACACCCGCTTCTCATGCATGAGGGTGCGGGTTTTAAACCTGCCAGGTACCAATGTACGTACTTGCCACGCTGTCAACCGGCAGCTGTGCAACGTGTAGCGGGTTTGATTTCCGCACGAAGCAACTCTTTGCCTGATCCATAAATTGTTGTGCGGGTCTGGGTGTCATGTGTATGTGTACTTGTATCTTTGTAAACGCACCTACCACACAGAAGAAAATCCTAAAGCAGGGCAACGTTTCAAGAAAAAAAAAAAGTAATTTGTAGTCCGAGTTATAATTATGTACTTTCCACAATTATTTAGACACCACCGACATACGGTAAAGGCAAACATTGAGAGGAAACTTAGTTTAGGCCTAGTGCAGCCTACCAAACGGTTCGACTTGAAATTATGCCTAACTAGCGACCCGCCCCGGCTTCGCACGGGTGCAATATGTATATACATACAAACCTTCCTTAAGAATCACTCTATCTATTAAAAAAAACCGCATCAAAATCCGTTGCGTAGTTTTAAAGATCTAAGCATACATACGGACATACAGCGAAAGCGACTTTGTTTTATACTATGTATTGATTTAACACGAATGGTAAATTTCATCAACTATCCTTAAACAATCTCTTAACTAAGAGTTACTAAATTTTAAGGAACCTGAAGTTAGGATAGGTGGCACTTAACGACAGTTTTGTTTTTATCAACGAAGAAGTGACCCTGACTCTTAACAATTAAGGGATACTTAAATCAAAGGTGGCCGAGTAATCCGGGCCTATCCAAGTTGAAACTAAGAGATGGATGTCAGTGAGACATATTTCGTGGTATAACTAACAAACCCAGTAAAATAAATACTTTCGATGAAAGTACGTCCACACAGTGTTTGGCGCATGAACTGAAAAAATATCGTGTAAATGAAAAATGTAACTTTGGAAGCCTGTAAGAATTTTTTATGAAACCACTTGTATCAAGCACGATGTTTTAAATATTTTAGACATTGATTGGAGTATACTTACAACAAACTTTATTTTAGTCCACTATATCTACAATCAAAAAAGTAATTTTGAATTTAAGAAAACACTTTGAGAATATATCTTATTTCATAAAAAAAATCATATGTGACGAAGAGTTTTAGGTAAAAGCTAGTTTTTAAACTCTCAAATCCCCGGTAAAATTGTGTCGGTCCATGCGCGAAACACCGTGTAGTTTAGCAACCATAGATCGTTTAAGCGAGACCGCTGTTGTATATGGCAACTTATGTCGATGGTGGTATGAGTGCACACGACGCTCACCGGCGGCGTCTTCATCGTCGGCCTGGTCCCCGCGGTCGCGGCCCTGCTTCTTGCGCTTCTTGTCCCGGCGGCGCTCCTTGCGCGCCAACTTCTCGGCCAGCGTGCTGCGCCGCGCGCCCAGCTCCTGCGACGCCGCTCTGCGCACATTGCCATCTCTACCGTCACTCATGTTTGCTTAAACTGGATACTGCAATATTACTGGATTACTCATGTTTTTCTACCAATTATGCAATTATTTGGTGCAACAAAAGACGCAAAATACAAGGTACCTTCCTATTAAAGTTAAAATGTAAATCATACATAAAAATGCAAAATGCAAACACTAAGAAAAATAATGATAACTTAAAAACAACGTTTGTGGTGCTGTACTATAACCAGTACGATGTGCGCCGCCCGTGTACGCTGAATGGGCGTCCAGTCAGCACGTGTCAGGCTGGCATGTCACATACAGATATCGAGTGGACGCAAGAAACGAAGGCGCCTCCGAAACAGTTTGCTGAATGAAGCAAGTCTTGTACAATGCTATCCAATCTACAGATGATAAATATTTAATGTAGGAACATGATTCATTTTACCTTGTTATAGTATATTAGTGCAATCTCCAATAGGTAAGCAATTTGCGCACTTGCACAGTTACTAGGTACTCGACTTACTACATATTGCTAAATAGGTTACTTCGCTCGTATTTCGTAATAGGCCGCGGTTTGACACATCACTGAAGACGGAGTCAGGACACAAGATTGAAGACCGCTGTATTCTTATAAAATAAGGACGTGTGCGAAATACTACTCCCTGAAACTGCCGCAGTCGATTTTTGAAGGTGCCAAAGGTTCCAGTAATATCATTGTATTTGCGGTTGAGAGCACACGAATACAATTTGTGCAGAATAAAAAAATATAGTATTGGTAAAAATTACAAAGTATTGGTAACGGAAATATTTTTTATTTATGAAATAATCATAACTTTACTTTAAAAAAACAACCATCCGAAAATAGTACCTCCTTCTTTTTTGATGTCGGTTAAAATGGCTTAGTTAAAAAATAAATAATTTTCTGTAAAGAGCATATTTGTAATAGCATTTTTGTTTCTTACTTGCATACTAAATAACTGGTCTGTACCTGGATACTGTAAGTATTACTTTACTTTAATATATAAACGCAACAGCAGCGTATGCTGTTTTTTAATCGACTTCCCAAAAACAAGGAGGTTTTAAAATCTGCCGGTATTTTGTTTTTTATACTACTACTACTAGTGATGTAAAGAATATTTTTTTTCATTCGCATTAAAAAAACTAAATTTTCAAGTACAATAAGATAAATTCAATGGAAGAATAGGTATTCATGTATTTAATATTTGTGACTAAACTGTAATATTTGGTGATCATTTGGTATAGTGGATATTAAAGTATAATCATGCGAAGTTTCATCGTAATCGGACCAGTACTTTTTGCGCGAGGAAGTCATTTCTTGCGTTTTCTCATTCACCGCTCTGCTCCTACAGATTGTAGCGGAATGAAAGGAGTATAAAAAATAATTGTACCAAGTTTCGTTAAAATCCGTCGAGTAGTTTTTGTTTCTACATCGGTTATACAGATAGATAGATACACAGGCAGACAATATTTTTTAAACTTTGCCCCCACACTAGGGTTGTACTGATTGCAATTTTGGCATCAGTATTGATCCCTAATCACCCCCTGATAATTATTTAGAAAATATATTTCATTCATGTACAGAATTAACTTCTCCATACATCCTTACTAATATTATAAATTGGAAAGTGAGTTTGTTTGTTCTGCTTTCACGCCGTAACTACTACACCGATTGCTTTGAATTTTTGCAGACGTAAAGTTAGAAGTCTGGATTAAATAATAGGGTACTTTTTATCCCGGAAAAAATTGATATTTCCGAAGGAAAATAAAAGTATTGGTATAGATGGCGCTGTGTGTATCTGTGTGGATATATGTCACATAGGCTACTTTTTATCCTTTTGTGACGCGAGCGAAGCCGTGGGTAAAAGCTAGTTTATTATAAGTATACAGGGTGTTTTGAAATTCGACCACAATCTCGTATAGTTATAGAATTATTCAATTCCAGCATTTTTGTCGAACAAAGGAATAGGCGGAAATGAATGGTCTTTAAAAAATTTAACTTTCAGTGTTCAGCTTGACCTAATTTTTTTTTTTATTATCTTACTTTAGTAGTTTATTTACCAGTTCTGATCATCAAATACACAATAATAATGTTATTTTAGACACAGTGATCCCAAATTCATAATTATTGGTTTTTTTTTCAAGTTCGACTCAGAAATATGCTCCTCCACATAAAAATTTACTGTGACGCATGTTGTGCGATTTGTACAAGAAACATCTACAAGTCTTAAGTTTTCGTATAAGGTATACAACTTCAACCTACCTGGACTAATGCCAAAGATATTAGACAAACAATGGACCATGGTAGTAAAATAATAAAGTTCAACTTACAAGTCCACTTTTAATGAAATCTTGCAACTTCTACCCGAATAATATAATTATATATTCTGGTAGAAGTTGTGTTGTGAAGTATCAACTCTATATATATAATTATATATAGAGTTGATACCGTCACCTGTTCAGCATCTGATGATGAGATCCCAGAGAAATCGAGGGTAACCCTCAAAATGTGACGTTTATTTTGACAATTTCATAAAGTTATTCAACTATGAGCTGATGATGGAAGGTACAACTCCTGAACGGTTAAGAGTTAGTATATTAAATTTTTATGTATACCAACACCCGTGTATTAAAAAACATAGATAATAAGTATTGGGCCGATGCAGTCGCCAATTATAGGATAACCAACTTTACAATTAAGTGACAAAAAAAGACTAGAAACGAACATGTAAACAGAATCAGAATTATTTATTTATTTATTAAGAGACGAGACAAAAAACAGTTACATATTAAAATTTTACTAAAAAGTCTTACACTGAACAACTGCTATAGTAAATATGTAACCCACACCATTGTCCACAATTTGGCATAAAGTATAATGGCAATAATGACCGTGTTACGGTAGTGTTATCTTAATTTAATTTAATTTACTACATACTAATAACACACAAGAAGATACAACAAGAAACCACTGTACAAATCTTACTGTATAATTAACAAAAAAAGAATAACTAATGAATGACCAACCATTACTGTTACAACCCAGCTGTCAGAAGCCCCATGGCCTGCTTACTAAATCTATGTTTTGAAAGCGAAAATATATCCAGTCGCATGAAATACGCGCGCGTCCCGGCATTACAATTGTATTACAATTATACTAACATATGGATCGAGGATGTTCTTTGAAGCTATTAGGTTAACCTGATTTTAGCAGGTTTATCTTATTAATGCTTAGGTTTTAGATAGAATTTATTTGCATATACCTATTAAACTGAAATTAGGAAATGAAATAATACTAAGGTTAAAAAAACCGACTTGAATAACCATTAACTAAGAACCAAAACATAATTATAATTCATTGACACTGAAAGTTAAGTAGATGGAATCCATCCATCAGGCCACCTCCTGTGTTATAGTCTGTGTACAATTGACGGCGTATTAGTTATCTACAAATGAGACACACGAGGATGAATGTACGTCTGTTTATTTGTGCAGCAGAAGAATGAGAAATAAGTCAGAAGGGGCGCCGCTCGGGCGGCGGGCGGGCCGCGCGCCAGCCGGGCGGCGGGCGGGCCGCGCGCCAGCCTTGCGTAGCCGCGCAGCGCGCGCGCGCCGGCCGCCAGCAGCGCCGCGCCGCGCCGCCACCACGCCGCGCTGCACCACGCATGTACCTCTACTGCCTTCATTTGTTACGTACTGCTTTTATTTCTTCATTCATTCATTTATATTTCCCACTTCCACTTTCCTGCGGCTCTACCTATAATTCCTGATTATCGTAGCTCAAGAATGGGACTTACGCACATAAAATGACGATACACTGATTCATTCAATTTACATGGTTTACAGGTACCTACCCTGTGTCAACTAACAGTGAAAGCGTGTCCACGTTCACGTCCATGTAACTTCTAAACTTTGGTGAGATTTATTGAACTTCTTTATTTTTCAAAAGTTATTGGAGGTTCCATAATCAAAACAGACAGATACAAGTGAATAAGCAAGCTACCTACATAATGTACGGTCCACTCGTACATTTTCTATAGGTAATATTATAGAATAAGAGAACTTTTGGTCAGTGAGTCGTCTTAGGGGCAAGGAGTTTACGACTCTACGACGGAAAATAAAAATTCTTATAAATGGTTAGTTTTTCATTTTCATCGATTAGTATACCTAATGATAAAGCGAAAATTATCTGGACACCTTTTGTCTAGGACTTCAGGTTCGCCTATAAATGAGCTCTAAAGGTCAGTTGGCGGAAACAGCTTTTTAGCACTCGGCGGCCGCTGCCGCGGCACCGCTCGCTGCGCTCGCTCGCCTCGCGCCTTGTGAGGGTCACAGTTCTAACCTAACCTAACCAAATGTGTCGGGGTGCCTAAAAAGCGTTTTTACACACTCCCCCAACTGACCTTTAGGGCTCATTTTCAGGCGAACCTGAAGCCCTAGATAAAAAGTGCCCAGATAATATTCACCTTATCTTTAGATATACTAAAAGATAGAAATGAAAAACCAGCCGCTTATAAGAATTCTCATTTTTGATGAAAAATTTTCAAGTCCCCGCGCCATAGCGCCCCTAAGGCTACACTCTAACCGAACTTTTGTACCGCGTGCGCACTTTAGTTCGCGATCGATTCTCGCCATACGATCTCAACATATCATCGCATTATACTTGTCCCGTACACATAATATTCAGAACAAACAATAGCCACACTTTTTTGGTAGCTGTGTAAGTTCGCGAATTTCTATTTTTTCTCATTATTTCTCCCTTTAACTTTAATCACTAAAAACATAAAGTCTCATTCTCTATATCAGAAAAGGTCTTATAACCCCATTCAATGGGACATTCAGAGATTGATATTTTTGAAATCCGTTGGTGTTTACATTATTAAAACTCAAGGCGCCTTCCAAAATTTTGGGAGAAATAATATTATTACAGAATTGCAATATATTTTATCACCAAAATGTTCTATGTAGAGGATTGAAACACCATAAAATAAGTATGTACAGTAGAGGCCTAGTTACTCACCGAACTTCTTCTATCTGTGAGTTGAGCGTGAGGTAGTCCGGGCTGTCGGCGCGAGCGCTGCGCGCGCCGCCGTTGGCGTACACCGTCTGCACACAAAGCAAGGGTCAGCGCGCGGCCGGCGCGGGCGGGCGCGGAGCGCGCGGGGCGGCCCACCTGCGCCTGCGGCACGAGGTTGTCGAGCAGCGCCTGCAGCGCGGCGCGCGCGCCCGGCGCCAGCAGGTCGTCGGGCTGCGCCACGATGTGCTTGGGCACGTGCGCGCCGCACAGGAACTGCGCCACCTCCTCGCTGAAGTGGTTGCAGTTGTGCTCCAGCAGGTTGTACGCCGAGGGACTGCAACCGACGACGCTTGTTATAGTGACTTTCAACTATCGCCACGCATTACTTTTACGGACAAAAATGATGTATTCTTTTGATTACATAATCATGTGTATCACCGGAAGTTTTTATAATCTTCTTTAAAACTAAAGGTATTTATTTATATAATATCTTTAGTTTCCAATACGTATATTCGGGAAATTATTTTTAGTAAGTTTGCAACGATATTTCAACAGTTCACAATCTGTGCTTAGCAAAACGTTATATTGTAAACTACACTACAATATGACGGCTCTATAGATCTAAGAAAGTGGCCTAGAAATTAGTTCACCCGGGCGTGCAAAAGCGACTTTTTTCACCCCAGTCCAGTCGAGCCAGCCCATTCGTGCCGAAGTATGGCTCTCTTACACTTTTAACATACCTAGGCCTAGGCGGCTAAATAATGCAGCGCTCGCGATTCTAATCTTCTAACCAAATGCATGCGGGGTGTTCTTACTATGACTTTGACTCTAGTCAACTCTACTAGTAGCACAGATACTAGATTCATTTCTGTCTGATTGTACCCAAGTCTATAGTTCTTTCGACTGCACGGTTGGTGCGATGGCTGGGCAACCGGCTGCCGTACAACGTGTCGCGGGTTCGATTCCCGCACGAAACAACACTTTGCGTGATCCACAAAATGTTGTTTCGGGACTGGGTGTGATGTGTATGTGAACTTGTATGTTTGTAAACGCACCCACGACACAGGAGAAAATACTAATGTGGGGCAACGTCTTATTAAAAAAAAAAGTTCTAGAAAGTATAATTGACCAATCAGAGAGCAGTAGTGTGTTATTTGTCGCATCTTAAAGAAGTAACACGCCCACCTTTAAAATAAAAAATAGAATTACCTACTATCCAGCAGAAATCACAAAACTTATTGCTGAAAAGAGGCGACAGAGACGAATATGGCATCAGACAAGATATCCACAAGATAAAAGAATTCTGAACAACCTTACAAAACAACTAAGTGAAGCAATTCAGAATTACAAAGACGAATCAATGAATAGTTATCTACAACAACTAACCAGCCATCGCACGACAGATTACTCTCTGTGGAAATCTATGAAAAGCTTAAAAAAGCCAATTCTGCACATTCCCCCTATCAAAGATATTAACGAGCGGTGGGCAATAAGCAACGAGCAAAAAGCTATAAGGTTTGCAAAACATCTAGAACTCATTTTTGAGCCAAATGAAGAGCATGAAGATAGCGACTTATTAAATGAAACATCAAATAATGATGAGCAAGAAATAAAATTCGTAACACCTAGAGAAGTGTACAACGAAATCAACCGCCTTAGATTAAAGAAATCACCTGGTTACGATCTTATTACTGCAGAAGTTCTTAAAAACCTCCCACGTAAAGCCATCGTAAAAGTTACGACTCATATCAATGCAACGTTAAGACTTCAGTATGTACCTGATCAGTGGAAAGTTGCCGAAGTTATAATGATACCAAAACCTGGTAAACCACCTCACGAAACAACATCGTATAGGCCGATCTCGCTGCTACCGACAATGTCAAAATTATTTGAAAAGCTTCTTTTAAAAAGACTAAAACCCATCATAGAAGAAAGAAATTTGATCCCTGACTACCAATTTGGTTTTAGGGAAAAACATTCGACTATAGATCAAGTACACAGGATTACCAACATTATTGAAAAGGCTCTAGAAGAAAAAAAAGTTTGCTCCACGATCTTCCTGGATGTAGCGCAAGCATTCGATAAGGTATGGCACAAAGGCCTTATTTACAAATTAAAAAACATGCTCCCTAAGCAATTTGCTGACATCTTAGAGTCTTATCTATCACAGCGTATGTTTAGAGTAAGACATGGTGATGCATATTCAGGACTCAAACCAATAAAAGCTGGAGTACCGCAAGGAAGCGTCCTAGGTCCCGTCTTGTACTTATTGTACACTTGCGATATTCCTGAATTAGAAAACAATACCATTGCCACATTTGCAGACGACACAGCTATTATGGCCATAGGTGCCACTCAAGAAGAAGCAGTGGAAAAAGTTCAAACAGCCGTCAATATCATTTTTGACTGGACAAAAAAATGGCGTGTGAAACTAAATGAATCAAAATCTGTTCACATAGACTTCACAAACAAAAGGACAAATTACCACCCGGTAAACATAAATGGCCATGTAATACCATACGAAAATACAGCCAAATACCTAGGCATGACATTAGACGTAAAGCTTCGCTGGAAAGTTCATGTCAAAAAGAAACGCGACGAGCTAGATCTACGCTACAAGTCGATGTACTGGCTGATAGGAAAAAATTCTTCGCTGTCAGTGCACAACAAAGTTCTTTTATATAAACAAGTCCTCATGCCTGTATGGACTTATGGTATTCAGCTTTGGGGCTGTACCAAACAAAGCAATATCAAAATTATACAGCGTTTTCAAAACAAAGTACTCAGAGGAATCGTCAATGCGCCCTGGTACATTCGAAATGACGACCTTCATCGGGACCTCAAAGTAGACCTCGTCATAGATATAATTAAAAAGTGTGCAGAAGCCCATGAGCGAAGGCTTCACCACCATGTGAACATCGAGGCTATCCAGCTCCTCGACAACACGGACATAGTGAGAAGGCTAAAAAGGACAAAACCTTTTGAGTTAACATAGTAAAGTGTTAGTGTAAAGTAGTGAGTGCTACCGGCAAAGAACACAATAACAAAGTGTCTTCCTCTTAATAGAGACAATAAGAAAAGTGTTAATGAACACATTCTTAGTTATACTTTCCTAGCAAATTAAGACAAAATAGAATTACTTATTAGCATTAAAGCTAGATTGTAATTTTTTTATGATGTTACCGCATGAGGTCACTTCATATAAACAAAAAAATAAAAAAAAAATCTTAAAGAAGTGTAATTGTGTAAAATTAATAGCTGAAGAGTTTTGTGATTGGTGTACAGGCATACGATTTGATATTCGTAGGTTGACAATTTGATTGTTTCACTTTGATAATTAAATAATTATGTAACAATCTACCGATAAAACGTTAAATTGTAATATTGCAACAGTTCACAGTCTCACAAATAGATTATGATCGAACGTTTTTCACAATGTTACGGTGACACGATACATCCTGTACATGAAAATTGTCCATTTGAGAATCCAATTAGAGGCATAATAATGTTCAGCAGACCATTTCTGGAGAAACTAGGATCTTGGTCTGACTTGCATTACATTATATTAATAGCTACTTCCGCGCGGTTTCACACGCTCTGCTCATATCCTATTGGTCGTAGAATGATGTTTTATGTTTTATAGCCTATAGCCATCCTTGATAAATGCGCTATCCAAAACAAAAAGAATTATTCAAATCAAACTTGTACTTACGGAGATGCGCTAATCTCCGTTCAAACAAACAAACAAAAAAACAAACTTCCGCTTTATACAATAGTATAAGAAGTATAAGATAAGATATAAGATTATGTAATGCACGATGACATCACAATCGAGTCAGTTTGTAATATCTAAGGTAAAAAGTAAGTCATATTCACCTATAGGTAGTGGTCGACAGACCCTGGATGTAGTCGCTGAACACCTGGAAGGGCACGAAGGTCTCTCCGAGACGTTCCACACGGTGTGGCGGCCCGAGCTGCGTACTGCCCTGCAATTGTAAGCGTTACCATTACATTAGTCGTAAAATAGTAATAAACGCTCGTGTCGTCGAGCCTGGTCTTGCCGAAGTGTTTCTTCTTCTTTGGTATTAATGTCCCTAACATTATGGTTAATTTTGTTAGAAATTTGTTGTATTATCACATCCCAAGACGAATACGTTGAGTTATACAAATCACAGTTTAAGCCACCAACCGTTGAATCTGTGTTTTGTAAAAGTACACGTTTTAGAGCTATCACCGACCTACTGGTTGGTGCGATCCACGGACCCAAGTTGTAAGAAACATTTAGCAAAGAATACGATTTCACAAGTTCGTGCTCCGGTTTCAGGCGGTGACAGTGCTGCACTGTCTATTAATACATAAATGTAGGTACCTACGATCCCACTTCTCAGTCACTGCCCGACTAAGGAATTGACCTATTATACTATAACTTCTAATACTTAACTTCCTTTGTAAGTACATTCATGTTAAGCGGTTTAGAGATTGGTTGTCGCGTTGTAGTCTTAATTATAGGATTCCGGATTTCTTATTTTTCGGATAAGTCGGCAAACGAGCAGACGGATCACCTGATGATTACCAACAAGTAAAAAGTTGAGTTGCAACACTAGCGCCCATTGCATCCGTATTGCGTGGATATTAAATAAACTAAATGGTATTTATTTTATTTTTTGAAGGGGGCAAAATCATCGAATTACTGCTCCCGCCTGGGTGAGGCGGGAGGGAGTGTCAGACTCTTACTGACTAAAAACCACCCCGTTCCTTCTCCTGCACGTCGAGCCGGAGCCCCGGTTACCCGTTAGGTTCTCCGCGACTCCGAATCGGGAACAGCCCTATTGGGCCCCATCTGTGGTGGTCTGATGGCTCTTTGAGGCGCGCGCGGAACGCGACGCGCCGTACGTTCGGGTCTGTTTCTGGTCGGACGGGGAGCCACCCATGCTCGCCGACCGCAGTCCCGCGCTTACGGTGGCCGGAGATCGTCTCGCGATCCCCGACGCCCGGTGTGTCCTTCGCGATGGCTGGGTTGCGGGGAGGCAGCGCTTCGCTGCCTCACGCGTCCGGCCTAGCTAGCATAACTGTTTCGCAAAAGGATGAGGCGGCATCCCAGTCCCCCTTGGATAATGTGAGATTTTATTGGATTGAAATTGCATTGACATTGAGATTGGTTTCAAGAGTAAGCACCCTGGTCGGGGCGGCGAGCTAATCATGCTCGCTGTGATATCATATTTATTACGGTCGAGCGAGCTCAGCCATGCCGAAGCGTAGCTCTCCTAAACCTTTGGGTACCGTCGTACCGAACTCTACAAATGACTAAAATGGTACGACAGTGAGCTTTATAAGGTAACAACTAACAAGCAAAGGAGAGTGCGTCTTGCAAATGCATGCGTAATAAGTGTAAAGTGCACAGATTACGTATATTAATTGCATTCCGTTATTGTCATGTTGGCGCCGCGCCGCGCACAAAAATAAACTGTTTACATTAATTTGTGCGCGTCTTTCCCGCGGCACGACAAGACGCACGTCGAGCGTCGTCGGTGCCGACTGCCGCACCGCGCACGGCCAGCACTGGCCACTGGCCACGTCGCGCGTCGCATCGGTTGCACCTCGTTCAGGCGACACGCGACGCGCACGCCACGCCATGCGCCTTTGTATCCGCTTTCAAATGGGAACGATAGATTTCAAACACACCGTAACTTTTTTATGTTATGAGACATTGACATGAGGTTAAGAAAATCGGCATACGCGCTTTTCCAACTTTCAATAAAAGTAAACATTCAGGCTCTTCTTGCAGCATACCATGGACTCGTTGCCTCGGTATTACGCTATGGCATTATATTTTGGGGGCAGTCTACAGATAGGGAGCTTGTGTTAAAAATGCAAAAAAGATGTTTAAGGTCAATGTGTGGTCTGAACCAGACAGCTGTACTACACACTTCAAATCACTAAAAATATTAACATTGCCCTCCATGTATATACTGGAAACAGCTGTATTTGTAAAACAAAATCCCCATGTTCAGGTACCACTCGGTACTGAACCACAACACTTCACTTTACTTTACTTCACTTCACTACTGGAAGACTCAAATAAAACAACTTCTTGCTTTGAGAGAACTTAATTTTATTCAAATAGCCAAGGGACCTATATAACGAGCGGAAAATCTTAACACCGCGATACACAAAAATGACGTCACTGCACAACTCCATCTATGGTGGACGAAGGAAAACAATACGCTTGTAGTTTTGCATCGGATGTGCTGCCATCTATGGTACAACGCGTGAAACACTAAGCTACTTGGCGTTGCATCGAATATGCTGCCATCTATTTTAAATGCCAGCCAGAGTCAGAGCCAGAGTCCATTATTAACTGCCAGCTCCTGCGTTACTTAGAGGATCATCAGCTGCTCAGTGACCAGCAATACGGTTTTCGTAAAGGTCGGTCTGCTGGTGATCTCCTTGTTTACCTAACGCATCGGTGGGCACAGGCGATCGAGTCTAAGGGGGAAGCGTTGG